GGTAGACTCTCTGCAGCACTTTTAGGAGTGTTTGCTGAGAAATATCTGAGAGAGCACTGCGAACATCGATTGTTGTTGGGGAAATTCTGTTTAGCCAGGCTTTCTTCACCTGAAATGTGGACTACGTCAAACTGCAAGAAATGACTCTGAGAAATCGATTTTTCTGAAGCAGTCATCAAGTTGAAATATTTCTAAACGAGAAAGATCCTCAAGTCTGAAAATGACATTTGGTGTCCTGAGAAAAGTTCTGCTGTAACCTCTTAATTAAAACCAGTTCACAAATTGAAGACTTTCATAAGTGGCCGACAATAATTAGTATATTATCGCTAAATCCATAATATTGACAAAATCGCCCCTTGTAGGAGAATCCAGAGAACTAGAGGATTCCGGATTCCAAGCGCTGGATTCCGGATTCCGAAACATTGGATTACGGATTCCAAAGAATTTTTGTGTTGGATTCCGGATAATAAATGGCGTGATTTTCAGTGTCTTTTTTTTCCTGAAAATTTTATATTCAGCGTCAGTAGTCTGCACAGGGCGCCGGCAACGCAAGGTAGCGCGTCACTAATTTGCACTGTCTCCAATTTTCGCATGCTGACAAACAAACTACGTATATGACGTACAGTAAAGTACAGCATATCAGTTGGATGTACGTTCTCATCTCTAGACAGCTAGATTTTCACTGATAAAAGCAATTTTCATAACTATCCAGATTATGGATTCCAAATAGTTGGATTCCGGATTCCAGGATAGGGATTCCGGATTCCAAAGCTGTATTTTTACTGGATTCCGGATTCCGGATTCTCTTACAAGGGGCCAACAAAAGAAAATACTCACATGTGATAGATATCAAAGCTAAAGATAAGTTCTGAAAGTTTCACTGCAGAAAAATATTAAATGAAGGTTTAGAAGAAGCACAACATCAAAAACAAGGCTTATAAGGCCTCAGCGAAGAATTACACACAAATCCCTGTATTTTTATTCCTCCATAATTTCGTTAGTATTGTTCCATAGCTTCAAACCTTTCCACGAATACCTATTTCTAATTGTTCTTCCGTATGACAGTGTTGAATACTTCAATTGTATGAAATCGATGCCGTAGGCACTTATGAAAGTACGTCTATAGATTTCGCCTTTAGCTTCAAATTCAGTGTTTAATTTGTTATTTAGCTACAAGCATGAATAGTTTAAACGTAATTAAAGGAAGGTTTTTTGCCTAGTATTATTTGTAGTATTCTAGCACTTATCCTCCACTAGGCAATGTACAACGACGCCATTTTGTGCAGCAAAGCATGATGGTAGTTGTAGTCCTCGGTTGTTTTAATTCATGTCCCCTTATAAACCAAGGGCGATAGAACTGAAATGATGACTTGATTTTACGAAATAGAAACAGTACATTTTAAAGCTTGTGTTTCTATTTCTCAATTCAACGTTTTTAAACACGAATTCAACACACTCACATTTTAGTTTCATATGTAACAAAAATTATTGACGAGCGCTTCGCTCAACTTTTAGATGACTTTCGATTCGAAACCCGACGAGTTATAAAACAYCGCGAYGGTAGCGTATTTTTACTATTTCGGGCCTACGAAGACTCGCTAGGCCAGGACTAATCTGTCATCAGTGTCCCTAAGTCCTGTTATTGCCTGCCCCTGTCTCTTTTGGTGTTCGGCCAGACACTTTGTCCATTTAAATGGCGATAGTTTTGACCATCTTCAAGACGAGAGCGTTTTAGTTCAAATCCCGACCTCTGACGAGGTCACATTCGGCCTACGAAGAATCGCTCGGCCAGGACTAATCTGTCATCAGTGTCCCTAGGTCCTGTCAACTTAATCCGATTACTGAGTTAGACGAGTGGTCAAAGGGGCCGCTAGTTATTGCCTGACCCTGTCTCTTTTGGTGTTCGGCCAGGGCAAAGTGATTTTAATCCGGTTAATGAATAACGTTCCTGGCGAGACAGCAGTGGCTGGTACAACAAGCACAGCGGTAATAAATTCAGCAACAACCGCTTGAGTAACGATCATTTGGATGAATTTCGTAAAATCAAGTGCTTTTTAGTGTCTAAGAGGACATTTCAGTGTATATTTCAGATAAGAAAAACTTTACAATTTATTATCGACTATCTTATGTTGGATAAATTAAGCAATTTTTGGATCTTATAAGTCATAATTTCAGTTCTAGCGCCCTTGTATAAACAGTCCTTCTGAATGTATTTGCTTTTTCTAAGCCAAAAAAGATGTTACGCTCATGCACTACAGAGAAAATTAAATTCAGAGTTCGCTACAATACAACCAAACTCTGCTACTTCACTAACACTAAAGACCCTACACCCATATTAAATAAATCTAATGTTGTGTACGAGTTCTCTTGTCCCGGTTGCCGTTCGAAATACATAGGAAAAACTGATCGGACATTATATGAAAGAACTTTAGAACACAGTCACAAGAAAGACAGTGCCATCTTTTGTCATTTAGAAAACTGCAACAACTTTCAACATATATTAGATTTATTTTCCATCCATGATGTAGACAAGTTTGATGAGCGCCAATCTTATAAAAACATCGTGCAGAACAACACCTCTGTTATAAGTAGTGATAACAATTGGAATCTTTTATTGTATAAGGAAGCTTTCTTCATCAAACAAAACAAACCATCCTTAAACACTGGCCTCCGCGCCTCTAGAGAATTAACGTTGTTTAATTAATTCATCTATCTAGTATATATATTGTCTTGTCTTTGCACTTTTGTAACTATTAGCCTGATGATGGTTTTGCAATAAAMCCGAAATATTGCTCTATGTAATCTAYTATTCTATTCGATGTTGAATATCAACTAGAATGAATATATTCGGTCTCTCATTCATCCTATTCTACCTAAAACTGTCAGCTTGTCCTGGATTTTGAAAAAAGATGTTGTTTTGCCGTTTTTACAAAATAAGCGTACAAAAGACTTTTACCGAGATATTTTAGGATCCTAAATAGTGCGAGAACTACAAATACTTCTGGCGCCTTTGCTTCTATTTTATACATTGGTAAGTTTTTTACATGTAACTCCTAGTGTCCATCTCCATAAAAATGCTACAGACCCTGCTTTCTAGAAAAATAAAAACGCAATCCACCATTAAATAGTGTGTGAGCGAATTGACGTTATCAAAGGTAAAAATGTCCCAAATTTCCATTATTTGCAACAAGATGGTTATAGTGGCTTCGTATGACTAAACTTCAGTCAGTCTTTCAGTTTTGTCTTTGCATTGGTAGGTGTTGAGCAAACCCAAGAAGCAATGATACACATCCAAAACTCCATAAAAAAACTCTCGAAGTATTTTCGTGTCATTTACTACATTGGCGCATCCAACATTTTAACCCAGTTGTCACTCATTACAATTTTTTCTACTGTGACATTTGGATGCTCTCCCTTCCGTCCTCGAGATCACCATTACCGATTGATCATATTGATCATAGCCCATTGACTTGTGAATTCTTAATCCAAAGAAATTCTTTTGTTGACCAGGTTAATTCACAAAGCGTCGGTGACAATGTTTTAAATATTGGATTTTAAGCAAACTTAGCAATAACGACAAGTCTTATTCAGGAAACAATAGATATATTCAGACTCAAAATTTGTAGCAAACAAAACTTAATTGGTGATGCTCAATCATTCGATATTCCAGATAGAAATTGTCCTACTGCACATACGTTAATACTGTTTTTTTAACGACAGCTGAAGTACATAGTTATAGTGGCGGATCCAGAGGGGGGTAGGGGGGGTAGGGGGGTTCCATGGGTTCCTAGGAACCCCTCTCAAGCATAAGAAAATAAAAAGTAAAATAAATGATAAATGAAATAAAATGAAAACGCATTGTACAATGAATTTTTATTAAATACATTCACGCTACATTTGCTACAGTTCGAGAGGCGCAGTAAAAAAGTTCGTTTTAGGAAAATGCGAAAACAAAGTGGAACCCCCCTTTGAAAGATCCTGGATCCGCCACTTCTGAATTAAATTCATATCACTAATCAGTAGGATTCAGTGAAGAGACAAGAGTGTTGAGCAGAGGTGTTGCATAAGGTCAACAGGTAAGGAACAATTAAAAAACAATAATGTTAATTTTAATTTTAAAAATTAAAAGTTATTAAAAAAATATTAAAAGTTCTTACTGGCAAATTGTCGTTATGACAACTAGAATAATTTGGTTCATTTGAGCCGAAATATCTGATTCGAGCCCCTTTAAACTTATTTTTAATCATGATTTGTAATCGCCATTCGCAAGGGAGAGACCCTGTAGATGTTTGCAGAGTTAAGAAGTCATTGCAATAAAAACGTTCCAGGGGCCGTTTTGTTGAGGTAATATGATGCTTCAAGTGAAAAAACTTGTTGCACTCAAGAATTAAAATCGTCGTGGGAGARGAGTTGCCTTGATTGAAATATCCATACCCTACTTGTCCACAGTCGTCTTCAT